AGAAGGAGTTGTTGGTGATGTTTGACCACCACATTTTAATCCCATAGGAAGCTTGTAAAGTTTCAATGCTGTTGAAGCCCGGACCTTCTTCTTCTTTGGGCTTGCACATCGAATCCCATTTAGCCGAATGCTATTTGAACTTCCCTTCATTAGTTCCCCATAAGAAGTTGTTCATTTTCTTATTTTGGGCATTGATGACGCTTTTTGGGAGATCGGAAGAACCAAGGGTATGTAGTGGGATGGAACTTAGGACATGTTTGATTAGGACCGTCCTTCCACTTTGGGATTTGTGTTTCTTGTACCAACCTGCAAGTCTTGTCTCAAAGTGGTTAAGAAGATCACGGCAGCAGGCAAGTCTGTTGAGGTTGCCTTTATGCATGCGGAGAGTGGTGGCTGTTTTGTGTATTTTAGGGGCTGGGGTTTTGGTGGGAGATAGAAATGGCATTTGGTGAGATTGATAGTTTTGCCTGAGGCTTTCTCATGCAGGTGTTTCACACTGCGCTAAGATCTTTTTTCTGTTTGCACCACCTGCAACTTTGCAAGTTATTATCTGCAAAGTACCATTTAAGATAAACGAACCAGTTTATTTATTCTTATTATTTTGTTGGAGCAGCGCACCGCGGTCAGTGTAGAGTGTTGTATTAGTATTCTATTTCTAAAATAAAATAGATATTAGCGAGCAACGGATTTAGCCGGAACCAATATTATATTAATAGATGTATTCACAATCTTAGGCATGGCACCCCCATCAATGGTTCAGTCGGCAAGAAGGGGAATTGTGTCCCTGTCCAAAGTCTCATGCGTGCAGTTGTATGGTCAAGGTTCGGTCTTCCGACTATGGGATGCATAGAACCTCAAGAACAACAAAGATTTGACATGATGTTGATTGATGAAGAGCTAGTACTTAGTAGTATGTTTTATTTTGGTTCTGGGATCCTTTAATTAAATTTTGCTTTAGTTTAACATGGTTTGTTGTGTATTGGATATGCGTAAGGATTCATAACCAATATGGTGTTGTTAGCCAAAAGTTGAACAAATGAACTAAATATTTCTTATATATGTCACTGCCCTAACCAAAAGTTGGAATAAAGTTACTGTCGTGAGATGCAGCAAAGGATGCTAGTTATCAAGTGTAGGAGAAAAAGTAAGTTTGTGATGGGAACAAGGGCTAATAATAACATATGCCTACTCTAAGTTCACCATGTGGGTGAAATGGAGTTTTGAACTTCTAAGTGTTTGTTTTGAATCACGTTTTGGTCTAAGCATAATCATGGGTTCAACAACCTTTTTGGTTGATATGAATAGATAAATCTTCAAGAAGATTTGAAAACACTTATAATGTGACCTTCTAAATGACAAAAGATATAGCTGCACAAAATCCAAAGGGTTCATGAATTAAGAATCGTTGTCAATTAGACAATTATAGTCTCGGGTAGTGTAGTTTTTTCTTTGCCAAACAAACTGGAATGTTATGCAATGGGGACTGTTTTTGACATGTTCTACTCTAAGTTTGAAAATCAAAATAGAAGAAACGAGGGAGTAGGTTCTCAAGAAAAGTCAGTAGTCCTACATGATGTCATAATAGTTTTTTGTTTGGATGTTTCTGCTTTTTAGTTTGGATTAGCATAAGTTAGGGACTCCTTTTAGAGGCTTTTAGTTGCTCTGGCATTACTGTTTATTCCAAGTTTTTTTCACAATTTCTTCCTTGAGCTTTGGTGGTTTATAATTTTTCGTAGATCACTCATGGATTTAATTTTGGAAGGGTGAACTCTTCAGGTTATATGGAGTATATGTTTGACAACGATAGAAAGATTATGTGGCAAGAAAGATGCGAAATCAACTGGCGGCTACGGGCTGCGACCATACAGAAGATGCGGCAACAATGGGACAGCGTTGCTCCTCTCGTCATCATCTCCCAGGTTGTTGTTGTTGTTGCCGACCACAACAACAACCCTACGGCACAGAGGACAGGTTTGGTTCTTCATCAACCAGACAAAAATACAATCTTTGTGGAATACATGGGAACAACAAGGCTCCATGCGAATGATCCCTTCTCCTCCAGCAAGTTCTGCCAGACACACCGCACAAATCTCCTTCTCGCAACTCCCACCTTCCCACTCTTCAGACTTCAACATCCGAACATGTCTCTGTCGATTTAAAACAGTGTACTTTGATGATGACAGTGGTGGTTTTGGTGGGCCCATGGGGCTGTCGGAGAGCAATGTTCGGATGCTGAAGTCTGAAGAGTGGGAAGGTGGGAGTTGCGAGGAGGAGATTTGTGCGGTGTGTCTGGCAGAACTTGCTGGAGGAGAAGGGATCATTCGCCTGGAGCCTTGTTGTTCCCATGTATTCCACAAAGATTGTATTCTTGTCTGGTTGAGGAAGAACCAAACCTGTTCTCTGTGGCTCTGTGCCGTAGGGTTGTTGTTGTGGTCAGCAACAACAACAACAACAACAACTTGGGAGATGATGACGAGAGGAGCAGCGCAGTCCCATTGTTGCCGCATCTTCTGAATGGTCGCAGCCCGTCGCCGCCAGATAATTTAGGTTTGTGAAAATGTCTGCAGCGGAGGAAGTTGAAGCTGCCGATCAACAATTGAATGGATGTGTGAGTTTCTTCTACTTCTTATATTGAGTTCAGTGTAAGTAACACTTAACAATGGTGGTACTCCTTATGAGTATTTTGTTGAAAATGAGGATTGGTTTCCAATTTCAGTTTTGATGTGTATGATTTATGGAGTATAAATTAAGATTTTAGAACATATATACCGCTGGGGGAGGAAAATTGCAGGGTTATGTGGGTTATCTGAAGAAGGCTATTGGCGTGAGGTCTATACTTGAATTCGAGCATTCGGTGGAGACTAGGAGCGACCCCCAACCATCAAGCTCTCAGGCCAAATCAAAATCAGGTCAATTACGTGGCTTCCCTGACAATTTTTTTTCATAAGCACTGTATTGGCTATAGAAGAAAACGATGAGGTTTTGAGGGGCTTATATGGAGAGGATACAATAGTTTATGCTATTTGAGAAATTCAAGAAGAGTTGGGACAATCACGGTGCCATGATTTTAGCTATATTGACATCAGAGATCAACTCTTCAAAGACCAATATCCTCTCTTTGTGAGTTAAATGGCCTGACCCGAGGGAAATCGAAATATATTTGGAAGAGATAATTGTCTTTGGCACAGTTGGGGGAGGTCTTTTTCGAATCTATTTTGAAGGAGGGGATGAATGCCTATGACCTTAAGAATGATATACTAGGGCTCATGCAATTTCTCCAACATAACATTTGTTTTTTTGTTTGTTTCAATTGTGTTGTTATATGAAACTCTCCCGGACTTGTGCCTTAAAAAAATCCAAAAGCTTGACTGCAACAAGCTATTATATTCATTGAAAACAAAGGACTTGAGAATTTTTGCAACTAAAAAGTTGTGTAGAATTGCTTCCCAAGAGACATTCAAGTATATAGGTCGCTGTGTCTATGTACGGGCCTCCTAAAGCTGAAAGACACGACTTCGGACATGCTAAATACTTGTTCTGTTAAACTTATTGGAATTCAAACAGGATCTAAGAGAAAGAGTGGTGAGCAATAGTAGAGCATCTGCTTCGTCCTCACCACAGCTGGGCCTGGACTGTCTAACACCTATATACCACGGACGAAGTAAGTCTATTGCGGTTTCATTTTTTAGCATGGACTTGGAGAGTTTTACAAGGGAGTTTGGTTTTTTCCTGTTTGATTTTGGTCTATGGAGATGCTGATCTTTGTACGTAGTTGTTATTGTAGTGTTTTGAAGTGTTTGGGTTGTGCTGCTTGATGAGTTTAGTCTCTGAGGATGTTAAGGGTATGAAGGGCAGTGCATGGACTTACTTTCATGGTAGTCAAACTCTAGATTCTACGTAGGATCGATAAGCATAATGAAGATCGTAACATCGTAAGATCGTGACTCGGATCGTAAGATCCTACTATATATATATATATATATATACATATATATATATATATATATATATATCTATGTATATATATATATATATATCTATGTGTGTGTGTGTATATATATATATATATATATATATATATATCTATGTATATATATATATATATNTTTAATAAAACATAATACAAGTTCAAGCATGAGAAGAAAAAAGCAGAAAGAGGAAAAAAAACCGAAGGAAGGATATTAGAAGTCTATTGGCAGGAGAAGTCTGGAGTAGAAGAGAAGGCTGATAGAGTGATATTAAGCTGGTTTCCGATTTAATTTGGGAATAAATAAAAGAAGAAAGCTGTTTCCGATCAAAATTGGGAGTCGCGACAGACGCGACTCTCCAATTGCAATTCCGGACGCGATTGGGAGAAGATTTCAAAGCGACGCTATTTGGGCTTCTCACAATCGGCGATTGTATGCGCTCCTGCGTTTTCACGATCTGAATCGCCGATCCAGACGATCCCAGTGGATTACGCGATTCTACTGCCCCGCCGGATCGAGAAGCTCCCGGTGATCCTCAGACTCGTAGACTCGTACGAGTCAACTCGCGAGTTTGACTACCATGCTTACTTTGGTCATTGGGTTTTTCAAGGGTAACATGTAAATTACTACTCCCTCCGTCCCTAAATAGATTACAAATTGCAGGTTATGAAGAAAAATTTCTTACTTTTTGAAATCATTTTATTTATAAATTGGTATTATTAATAAGATATAAACATTACATATTAAAAAACTACGTTAAAAGTTCTACAAATAAGAGGTGACAAGAATATTTTATTTTATCAAATATTTTATGAAATTGCGTAAACAAAAAAAGTTATCGAGAGGAGAGAAAAAAAATTGTAATCTATTTAGGGACAGAAGGGAGTATTACCAATCTCAAAAAAAAAAAAGAAAAAGAAAGAAATACTGGATGAGACTTGTGCTAGATGGATGGGCTTTCATTTCTGGGCAGTACACCTTCCAGCTTCAGAGAATTAAGCTTTTGTGTTATATTCACTTTGTAATAGGCTTTAACATGTCCGTATTTTTGGGGCCTCATTTTATGACATTCCACAAAAGTACGGAGTATCAAATAGTGAGAAAAAGTGTGTGAAAAAATAGCATGCCTTTTTTTACAGCAAATATTTAAGTATATACTCAATACTCATTCTGTCTCAAATTAAATAACTTGTTCACTATTTACAATGTCATATTTTATTTATTTATTTATTCATTTATTTTAAAATTTCTAAACTTTATCTATTTTCGTTAAGCTCTTCCATCTTCAATTCTACAATGGAGTCAAACATTCACTATTAGTATTTGGCTTTGTAGTAAGATGGAATAAAGCAAGATGGTCCTTAAACTATCTGTGCTTCTTTTGATAGTGGAGTCACAGTTAATCCATGCAATTTTCGATGTTAATCACGAGTCATCTGAGAAGAGATGCTTATGCTGCGTTTTGTTCGCCTGATCTAATTGGATTTTTTGATATTCTGATTTGATATGGTCCGATCTAATTGGAACTGATCTAATCTGATTGAATCTGATCTGACCTGGTGTGATCTGATATGGTCTTATCTGATCTGATTAGGTTTGATCTGATATAAATTTTATTAAAATTATAATTTTTATTATAATGGTTATAATAATAATAATAGTAATAATTATAATACTAATAATAATAATAATATTGTTTAAATTTGGTCTGGTGTGATCTGATCTGCTCCAATCTGATCTGATTGGAGCTGATTTGATCTGATCTAATTTTAATAAGAATAAGTAATAAACAGAAAAAATAAGTTGATTGGAATGCTGCCTTAATAGTTTATGTTTGTCAATGTGTAAGTTTTACTCCTGTTTCATATCTTTTTTCATGTGTCTTTTCACAGTCTTCAATGTAACACTTTGACCATAAATACCTCTATTCTATATATTCATACAATATACAAACATGATATTTTGAAAGTAAATATCGAAAAGAATCTATTGATATTGAATTTGTATACGCGTTTTTTCATAATTTGTGATCAAAGTTAAAAAAATTGATCGTCAAAGTCAAAACAAGCAAAAAGATATGGGACGGAGGTATAATTTTTTAATCACACCCAATTTTGTTATAATTTGAATGAAAAACAATTGATGGTAAACACCGTGAAATAAAAGAGACATATAAAATGGAGAGGATTTGTGAATTAACTTTGAACCATTAGAATTACACCAAGGTTCCGAGGACATTGGGAACCAATGTCATGGGATGACCCGGGGGCGCTCTGGTGTCCCGTTCGTAAAATTGATGGTTCCTACCTCCCCGGTAAACCCCCCTGCCCCGCCCCGCCCCGCCCCGAACACATCCCCTTCAATTGCACCCCACAAGTTGATTTTGACTTTGGAGTCAAAATTTAACTCTAAAGTCAAATCAACTTGTGGGGTGCAATTGAAGGGGTGAGGGGGTGTGTTCGGGTCAGGGTGGGATGGTGGGGTTTACTGGGGGGTTAGGGAGTAGGAACCGTCAATTTTACGAACGGGACACTGGAGCGCCCCTGGATCGTCCCATAACATTGGTTCACAATGTCATTGAAACCTTGCCCTTAGAACTATCCTTCCAAAAAATACGGGGTGTAAAAATGTTTGTGAATTAAAGAAATTTAAAAGCAAGATACTCACCGTAACGCCCGTAACAAACATTTCCGTTTTCTTTTTTGAAGGGAAAGCCATAGCTGAACCTGAAGCCGGATTTCTTTTTTCACAGCTGAGCCCTATCTCTGTTTTAACTTCACAATATCGCCACTTTCAATTTCCCTCGAGAACAAAGGTATTCCTATCTTTAATCGATTTTCAATTCCAATTCTTGGCTTGATTCTTATTAAATATTAGTCATATTTTCTCTCAAGAAATTTGATACTTGCACTAGTGAAAGGTTTGGAATGGTCTGGGGCACTTGCTACCAATTTACTACTAATTCATTGATTGATTGATGTGTTGTTTATTCTAATTGGTTTTACCTTGCTTTCTATCGGTCATCTTTCTTTTGTCCATTTTCAACTCGATTTCAAATGCTTCAGGGAAATGGATGGAAAGCACGATGATGATGATTGGGAGATTATTTCTCCCGGATCCTCCGATAAAGACATCAAATCCTGGTCCGGGTGCATAGAATGACGGTTCGGAGTTAGCTTCATCAGAATTCTCCCAAGCACAATGGTCATCAAAGTATATGGACAAATTGACACATTACGACGACTACTTTACTCAGATTGAGGAAATGGTATATTTCGTGAACTAGCTTTTTAGTCTTTCCGTTTGAGATGCTAAATAATATTTCTTTCTTTTTTTTGTTGTCTACAAAGGATGCAGATTTGGTTTCTTCGAGGTCGTCTATCTCCGTGTCATCAGATTGGAAGGAATCCGTGCTAAAATATCTCGCCGACTATGGTATGCCTAACCCGCAACATATGGTACCCCTGACCTACCTGATAGCACCATTAATTTGGATGTAAAACTGTGAAGTTGTGCGATGTAAATTTGATTTCTTTTAATTCGTCCATCTCCATGTCATCCGATGGGAAGCAACCCGTGCTGAAATGTCACGTCGACAACTCTACCCCAAACCCGCCACATATGGCACTTGCTTCCCAACTCGATATCGCCACAATTTCGGAAGTAGAAATTGGGAAGTTGTGCGATGCAGAGCTGTAGAAAAGCCTGCAATAAGGACAAAAGTTAAGCCCAACCCCGAGTTTATGACAAAGATTGAGGGAGACGGAGCTGCAGTGGAGCAAGTTATGCCCAACCCCAAGTTTATAACCTAGACTGAGGGAGACGGACCTGGAGCATGTTATGCCCAACCCTGATTTCATGGTAAAGACTGAGCCCAACGCCGAGTTTATGACAGAGACTAAGCGTGAAAGACCTGCAATGGAGCATGTTAAGCCCAACCCCGAGTTCATGACAAAGATTGAGGGAGGCGGAGCTGCAGTAGAGCATGTTATGCCCAACCCCGAGTTTATGACCCAGACTGAGGGAGACGGACCTGCCATAGGGCATGTTAAGCCCAACCCCGAGTTCATGAGAGAGATTGAGCCCAACACCGAGTTTATGACAGAGGCTGAGCGAGAAAGACCTGCAATGGAACATGTTATGCCCAAACCCAAGTTTATGACAAAGATTGAGGGAGTTGGAAACAAATAGAATCAGGTTGTTTTAATATTCATATCATCTTATATTCATAAATATATGGACTTTTAGATGAGTAGCTTAGATGATTTTCCCTTATATTTGTCAGGAGTCAAGCATGCTTGAAGGATTTTAAAGTCCTGCTCCGGGTGTCCAGCCAAAAGAGCATATTGCAAAGCCCAAAGAAGATCCAAGTGTGAAGTTTCATCTAGAAGAGACAGAACAAGGGGGTTCAGCAGCATATATATATATATATATATATATATATATATATATATATATATATATATATATATAGCCATGAAAAATTAATAACCTTATTGATCCTGCTGCTGGACCCCTGTCTCTCTCTTCCAGCTGCAACTTCACACTTAGATCTTCTTTGGGCTTTGCAATATGTTCTTCTGGCTAGACACCCGGAGCAAGACTTGAAAATCTTTCAAGCATGCTTGACTCCTGACAAATATAAGGAAAATCATCTAAGCCACTCATCTAAAATTCTATATATTTCTGAATATAAGATGATATGAATATTAAAACAACCAGATTCTATGTGTTTCCAACTCCCTCAGTCTTTGTCATAAAACTCGGGTTTGGGCATAACATCCTCCATTGCAGGTCTTTCTCGCTCAGCCTCTGTCATAAACTCGGTGTTGGGCTCAGTCTCTGTCATGAACTCGGGGTTGGGCATAACATGCTCTATGGCAGGTCCGTCTCCCTCAGTCTGGGTCATAAATTTGGGGTTGGGCATAACATGCTCTACTGCACCTCCGTCTCCCTCAATCTTTGTCATGAACTCGGGGTTGGGCTTAACATGCTCCATTGAAGGCCTTTCACACTCAGTCTTTGTCAAAAACTCGGCGTTGGGCTCAATCTCTGTCAAAAACTCGGGGTTGGGCATAACATGCTCTATGGCAGGTCCGTCTCCCTCAATCTGGGTCATAAACTCGGGGTTGGCCATAAAATGCTCCACTGCAGCTCCATCTCCCTCAATCTTTGTCATAAACTCAGAGTTAGACTTAACATGCTCCATTAGAGGTCCGTCAAAAGGTCCCGCTCCAATTTCACACCTCTAAGTTAGCTTGGACACACCATACTCCTTTTGTGCTTCTTGCAGGTTTTTACACCCTGCAGCTCTGCATCGCACAACTTCCCCATTTCTACTTCCGAAATCGTGGCGATATCAAATTGGGAAGCGGGTGCCATATGTTGCGGGTTAGAGTTGTCGACGTGACATTTCAGCACGGGTTGCTTCCCATCGGATGACATAGAGATGGACAAACAAGAAGAAACCAAATATGCATCGCGCAACATCCCAGTTTCTACATCCAAATTAATGGTGCTATCGGGTAGGTCAGGGTACCATATGTTGCGGGTTAGGCATACCATAGTCGACGAGATATTCCAGCACGGGTTCCTTCCAATCTAACGACACGAAGATAGACGACCTCGAAGAGACTAAATCTGCATCCTTCTGTAGATAACAAAAAAGAAAGAAATATTATTTAGCATCTCAAACGAAGACTAAAAAGCTAGTTCAGGGAATATACCATTTCCTCAATCTGCGTAAAGTAGTCGTAATGTGTCAATCTGTCCATATACTCTGATGACCACTGTGTTTGGGAGAATTTTGATGAAGCTTACTCCGAATCGTCATTCTATGCACCCGGAGCAGGATTTGATGTCTTCATCACAGGATCCGGGAGAAATAATCTCCCAATCATCATCATCGTGTTTTCTATCCATTCCCCTAAAGCATTTTAAATTGAGTTGAAAATGGACTGAAGAAAAATGATCGATAGAAAGCAAGGTAAAACCAGTACAGAATAAACATCACACCAATCAATGAATTAGTAGTAAATTGGTAGCAAGTGCACCAGACCATTCTCAACCTTTCGCTAGTGCAAGTATCAAATTTCTTGAGAGAACATATGACTGATATTTAATAAGAATCAAGACAATAATTAGAATTAAAAATCGATTAAAGATAGGAATACCTTTGTTCTTGAGAGAAATTGAAAGTACCGACATTGTGAAGTTGAAAAAGAGATAGGGCTCAGCTGTGAAAAAAGAAATCCGGCTTCAAGTTTGGCTATGGATTTCCCTCCAAAAAAAGAAAACAGAAATGTTTGTTACGTGCATTATGGTGAGTATCTTGCTTTTAAATTTTTTTAATTCACAAACATTTTTACACCCCGTATTTTTTGGAAGGATAGTTCTAATGGTTCAAAGTTAATTCACAAATCCTCTCCATCATTTTATATGTCTCTTTTATTTCACGTTGTTTACCATCAATTGTTTTTCATTCAATTTATAACACAATTGGGTGTGATTAAAAAATTATACCTCCGTCCCATATCTTTTTGCCTGTTTTGACTTTGACGATCATTTTTTTTTAACTTTAATCACAAATTATGAAAAACGCATATACAAATTCAATATCAATAGATTCTTTTCGATATTTACTTTTGAAATATCATACTTGTATATTGTATGAATACTAGTATTTCTACCCGTGCCATGCACGGGTTCGGACGAAATTTTTTTCGATTCTATAATGTGGATCTTGATTTAAATTTGACATATTATTTAAAGGTCAAATATAAATGATCTATGTTTAATGTATTTTTACAAATTTATAATTTTTATCGCAGTATAAATTCGAAAATATATTAATACAAAAGTATTAGTGATCCAATGATTTTTTTTCCTCACATTAATTTAAAAAACCTAAATTACCGACCTTATAATTATATACTTCCTCTGTTCCCGAGTATTTGTCAACTTTTGACTTTTTTTGTCAAAATTGGTAAATTTTGACCTCAAATTAAATAAAAACGGTATTAGATATTGATACAAAATTAGTTTTATTAGATTTATTATATCATCCATTTTCAAAATATTTTTTATATACTTAATATATAATATATATTTTATTTAATTCTAAGTCAAATATTGAAAACAATTAGTCGGAAAAGTCAAAACTGGACAAATAACGGAGATAGTAATTAAAAAATAGG